CAAAAAAAAAAAAAAAAAAAAGATAACCCAACTAAAAAATTGGGCAGAGACTGAGCACAGTGGCTCATGACTGCAATTCCAACACTTTAGGAGACTGAGAGAGGAGGAACACTTGAGGACAGGAGTGAGACTCCATCACTACAAAAAAATTAATCAAGTGTGGTGACGCATGCTTATAGTCCCAGCTACTTGGGGGACTTACTGGGTGACAGAGCAAGACTTCATATAAATGAATGAATGAATGAATGAATGAATGGCAAGGGGTTTGAATAGACAAGAGACCACATGTTGAATGATTTCATTTATTTGAAATATCCAGAATAGGTAAATGTATAAAAACAGAAAGTAGATTCGTAGTTGCCCAGGTCAGGAGAAGGGGAGAAAGGGAAGACTGCTAATGGGTATCAGCTTTCTTTTGGGGATGATAGAAATACAAAATTGATTGTGGCATTTGTTGCACAATCTTGTGAATATATGAAAAATCACTGAATCATATGCTTTCATGGAGTGAATTTTATGTTATATGAACTATATCTTAAAACAATTTAGTATGCCTTTTGGTGTGAACTGGGACTCGAGCTTGTGAAAAGATGAGGCTAAGTTGGAGGGTTTGGGTGAGTTAGGTTTGAGTTGGGTTGAAAAAGTTTGATGGAGATTATGTGACAGTTGGGAAATATCCGAAGAACATGTAGAAAGATTGCTCAGAGCATTGAGGGCCCAGTTGTGATTGGATACCATAAATTTATAGTGGCACTCTTTATTTTGTGATTTTTCTTTACCATCTTGATCTACTTCTGGTGTATAGAAAAATAGCAAGGGAAGGGGATTGAGAGTGTTGGCATAAGAACATTTGAAATGTAGCCATGGAATTTAAGCTGGACAGAGAAGGGAAAATCAAGGGTCAATAAATAAGAGGTTTGTGTGGTTACAGTTCATTTGGAACAGGCGTAATTAAGAGAACTGAAGTGATCTGAGATTGTGGTCAGAGATTTTTTAATATGAGGTTGATATAACTAAGTGACCTGATTTTTAAAGGAACTTTGGGTTTTGCATAAAGGGCATAGTATGGTAAATGAGGAGCACAGAGTCCCACTTCTCAACTCAGAGTGTGTGACTGAGGAAGACTTGGGAAGGAGTATCTCATGCATCTCCATGAGAGGACTTGGTGAAGTGGACTCAACATATGGAAAGGAATGAAAGGGCACGTGAGAAGAGCCAATCCCACAAAACAGAAGTGTAAAATTCTGCTTCTGGGACTGCCTAACACATTTGGAGAAATGCAGTTTCATCGGTATAATCTCGCTATTGGGAAAGGTTACTAGAACAATCTTAGTTGAGGAACATTTCCAAAGTTTCACTTAGTTTTCTTTGTTCAGGCCCTATATTGACCAAAGCAATGTTCTGGCTATGATTCGGCTCCCCATATTACTACAGAGAGATAATGTGTTCATTGGTCAATAAGCATCTAGTTCAGCAGGCTCAAATCTGTAATCCTAGTACTTTGGGAGGCTGAGATGGGAGGATCACTTGAGGCCAGGAGTTTAAGACCAACTTGGGCAACATAGCAAGACCCCATCTCTAAATAATAATAGTAGTAATAAATATCTGGTATGCTAATTGCAGTTTTTATAATTATCATTAAAATATTTTAAATTGACACTCTTTTATACGTCAACTTTTTTTCAGTAGGTAGTCAGTGTTAGGAAATTTTAGGATTTCCAAAACTAAGATCCAGACCCTGGTTCAAAGTGTAAGCCCCAAGGTAATGCCATTTTTGTGAGGCCTCCAGGTAGAAACCTTCACTGCATAAGTCCCCTCTACTAGGAGACATTTGCATGATAGACCTATGTATGTAACCTGCAGCAGAGAACCAAACTTGTATATTGCTTTGCCTTTGCCCAAATTTCTCTTCTTTCTCCTTCCAGAGAGGCATTCATTGCATTTCTGAAGTGCTTTGTGTAGAGCTTCAAAATTCAGTGTGACCTCTGCTCTGGGACATTATCGGGCACAGATGCTACATGTGAAGGGCTTTTGGCAGTCAGTGGCTGGTAGCCGTGATTCCACCGGAATCCCTCCCGCACAGACCATATGAAACACATTCCTGCAGGATCCCAGCCCTATTCTTGGGAATCGTTTTCTTTTCCAACTTACTGGACTCCTTTAGAGGCCTTTGGCTTTCACTGGACTTTTCTTCATTTCCTTCTTTTGTTGATCTTGGCCCCTTAACCTTCCACCCACTTTATTACTCATTTCTTAGGGACCTGACTACTCAGTAACACTGAGAAAATATGTCTGAAGCCATATGGGTTGAGTAAAGCAAACATAAGAGGGAGAGGAAAAAAAGAAAGAAATGTGTGTTCTCTGAACTTCCTTTGTTTATATGATCTGTTTATATGTTGTTAAGGTTGTGTTCTCCAGCTGCCTCCTCACATTCACAAATGACTAAAGATATCTGGAAAGCACTCTAACAGGGCCATGTTGTCACAGAGAGTGAAAAGATACTTCATTCGTCCCCCAACAGATAGTATATCTTCTTTTGAGGTGTAGAGCAATGCCAAGAGCGTCACATGCTGGATCTTGAAGTTCTTGAAAGGCCATTGACTTCTAGGGACAGTTTTAGAAGGAAGCCAATCAAAGGAGTTTTTTTAAAGTGTGGGTATATACCTGGCCATTTGAATGTTTGCTCATTACGATTAGTTCATATGATATTTAATTGACAGTTTTCTTTTGGTAAAATGAGCATTGGCACTGGTGTGAAGTGATGTTGGCAACCCTTAAAGCCCAAGCTCTGATCTGGTCTTTGTATAATGTGAATTAAAACTTTAGTACATTTGTGTCAGGATTATTCTGAAAAATTCGGAGAATGGAATTGTGTGGTATTTGTTAATGTCATTCTACTTATAAACTGCTATCTTTTTTTTTTTTGAGTTGGAGTCTCACTCTGTCGCCCAGACTGGAGTGCAGTGGTCGCTCCCGGCCACCGCAGCCTCG